AGGAGGACTGGGAGGCAAAAAAAAATATCAAGAGCTGGTCAGGTATGGAGTTACAGCAAAGCCCTTGGTCCAAGTCAGCCCAGCCAGATGGAGTACCTGCTGCAGCTCTTCCCTGGGACAGGGGGGGCAGAGAGAACACTCAACGCTGCAGGAGAGCCTTCCCCTCCAAGTCACATACCTTCTTCCCAAGGTGTTATCAGATCACAAGAGGATCAGCTGTAATCTAGTTAGCTCCTAGCCTTCCTCAGCCACCTCTGCACCATGGCTGGGAATTAGCCCTCAAACCTCCTCTCCCCTCGGGGTGGCTCTGCTGCCAGGCTTGCTCTCACCTTTAAAAAGCAAACACACTCCACCCACTATGAGGGCAGGGTTTATTCCAGCCACCACCTGCACCGACCAGCAAAAGGCTCCAGAAATCAGTATTAGCTCCCCGTCTTTATCGTACAACAAGCAGCACTCCTCCCCTCGTCAGGCAGCCCTCTCCGTGGGCAAGGCAGCAGGACCTGCTCCCAGGCAGCCCCCTGCTACTCCCCTCAACCACCCCCTCCCTTATCTCACAGCTAAGCTCCATCCCCTCTGAGGCAAAGCCTGGGCACTCACCTATAAAGCTCCTACTCACCTTTGAGAGCCCTCCCACTTCTAAGTAAAAGCAGATGATGAAGATGTTCCAGGTGACCCAAATTGCAGTCCAGATGGCATACTAGAAGGGAACGGGGGCGGGGGGAAGAGAGAGAGAAGCAATAAACTTTAGGAAGTCACTGGAATTAGTTTATATATATATATATATGGGATGCAGCTGGGGGTTAAATGCCCTGACTCAGCAATTGGTTTTTTCCTTCCTCTGTTTCCCATATGTGGATGGTCCCTTGCCTGATTAGAGATGCAGGGGCAGAAGTTTAGAGGCAATGGAAGAGCTTCTGCCATGCCTTTGCCCGGCATTTCGTTCTCTGTTGTGCAGCGTCGCGATGTTACTTTGGTGCCAGTAATAATTATCTGAAATCTCCCAGGTTTGGCCTAAGTACAGTAAAAGTGCAGTACGCTGAACAACGTGTTCCTGAGCACAGCTGAAATTGTTTACAACCATTTCCCCGGGGCTTTGCTCAGTTCCTCGTGACGTGCCATATCCCGCCAGAGCAAAGGCCTCGAAGGGCTCTGAACAGAAGGGAGGTTACTTACCACCACTATGTAGCGAGGTCTATACTGAATAGTGCCAAACAGGCCGAGGATGACGATGATGATGTGGAGGAAGTTGGCTAGGATGGGGGCCCACTGGTATCCCAGGAAATCGAACACTTGCCTCTCTAACGCAGCAAGCTGGAAGGGAGAAGGAAAAGGAGAGTTACAGCGTCTGGACTCGCGACGTTTGTACTCAAGGGTTTGTCGCGCTCCCTGGGCAAATCGCTGCGGCAGCTGACGATGTTACTCCGTTCCCAAAGCAATTTGCTGCCTCTGAACCAGGTCAGTAGGGCAGAACGCGTGTCCCCCCCCCCCCTCGTTCTGCTTTGTACTCATCCCATCTCCTCCGATGGCTGAGCTAATGCAGACCAGTGAGCTCCTGGGTCTACGTGGGCGCACGCCCCCTGTTCTGTGCGCTTTGCGGCGGGGAGGTGGCCCTGGCAGAGGTGAGCGGTGGGACGGTAACATCTTAAACGGCTGCAGCAGGACTTTCGAGAGCTCATTTGTCAGAGCCTTCAGCATCACTCCATCATTCCTGACACCGCTCATGCTTCTGCTCTCCAGCACACACCCATGAAAGGGAGAGAGGAGGAAACTCCTCCACCTTAACCCCTCAGAAAATGCTGCCACCAGCAAAGAAATTCTGCAAACGCATCGGTTTTCCAGGAGAACAGGCTGTGTTCCTCTCCTGCACTAATAACATGGTTCAAGGCTAGTGCTACGTTCTAGAAATAAAACTCCATCACTGTTGAAGTGCTGGGCCTGATTTTTGAATCGTATTTGCATAAAGATGTGCTTTTCACCTGTAGCCATCATCGGTGTATCAGGGGCTGTGTTATGCCTGAAGCTGAAAGAGAGCACTGGACATGCAGTTGCATCCTAGCCTTTACATCCCCGCAGCCTTTAAATATCATGTCTGTAGGTGAGCCAGTGAGTGGAGGGGGCAGAACGGTTCCTGCAGGTTTCTCCCCAGCGCCCAGCCTTACACAGAGAGATCTTCCTGCTCGTCTTCGCTAACGTGGTGCGACCAACCTCCCACCATTGACCAGCAGCTTTGCTGGTGCTAAGGCTCAGCAGGAGATTTCCCCATCGGGGTGAGATTTCCCCATCAGGGTGAGACTTCCCCATCAGGGTAAGCTTTCAAAGTGTGTTTAATTAGCGTAGCACTACGCTGGGATTACATTATGACGTTTCTCATATTTATTTTCACCTAAATAAATCATTCCAATTTACCATCGATAGTTTATGTTAATTTAAGTACTAATCAGACATTAACCATGGATGACCCTAGCCCACTGTATGTACTCAGCTATGTGACGTCTTTTCCTGGCTTGGCTTTTAAATGACAGCTGGGGACCAAGCACTGGAGCATCTGTAATGGCTTAAAGCATTTAAGGATGTTAGTGCCTGCAGGTCCCAGCCCAGCCACACGATGAGGGAAGCCACATCTATTCAATGACCCTTATTCCTCCTTCCTCCTGGCTCAGTGGGGAAATCACCTTCACACCTCTCTTGGGCTAGGAAGGTCTTGCAATTCTCATCACTACCTTGGAAGGTCAACAAAAATCTGTATTTCAAAGAAATCTAGAGCAGCCCTGGTTAAGGGAGATGAGTCAGGGCGGTGCTAAGCAGGTTCCCCTCTCTGACATCTCACTTCACTGGCAAAGGGGTGCAGGGAGAGTGGGGAGGGAATGGAGGAGTCTCTAACTCCGTCTTTTCTGCAAAATAATTAGTCCTTCCTTTGAAGCAACACGTACTGCCCCGTTCTGAGCAATTTGAACCGCCTGGAAGATGCTGTGAGCTGTGCTGCACAGCCACGCGCGGGGCTCCAGGCCTGGAACAGGGCAAGCGCTGCTCATTGCACCGTTCAGCCTGCTCTTCCCCGCCGAGCACAGCAGATTTTCTGTATCTCATCAGAAACAGCAGTAATAGGTTAAACGCTTAATCTTTTAGGAGGGGATTAACGCACATACCTTAACGATATTTGGAAATTTTGAATGCTGACTGGCTGGCAATGGGTCACTTGACTGTGACCGCTTCATCCAATCAAGCATTTAATTGGCTTTGTCCGTTACATTAACGCGGGAGTACGTGCTGCAAGAGCCAGCACCTCGGTGCATCAATTAGCTGAAGGGACACAATGGGGGTGTGTTCTGCGGAGATAACGCCCTGCTCAGCTTCGCCTTTTGCCTCCAGGCCCTGAGAAAGGGGATAAAGGCAGATCCTTCCCACCCATGCCTTCTGCCACGAGTTTTCCCAGAATCAGGGCATCTGTGTCTGGAAAAGTGTTCTCACAAATCAACATTTGCCATTGGGGCTGTATAAAAAGGAGAAAGCTCGTCCTTCCACAGCTTTGTGGTGTCTCCTGGTTCGTTTGGACGAGGGAAGACATTGATCTGTGAAGCGAGAGGTACCCAACCTCCCTGGAGACAGACCTGCCAATCTACTGACTTCGGACTGGGGCACAGCTCCTAGAGAGGTCTGCGAGCCCCAGCCACGCTGGATTTTTCCCCGTGATCCCAGAAGTTAGCTTCATGTCATACTTCCCCCTTCCTTACTGCGATTGCCCTTGTCTCCAGGTTGTTTCTGTCCTGATTATGTTCCTTTGCCACTTTCTCTGCATTTTTTAAGTGGCTTTGTGTCCCTGGGAGGTGCAGGCATGACTCAGCTGGTACAGAGATGGGCTGTGCCTGCCTGCTGGTTCAGCTAAGGGGAGCTGGGTCGGCACACCTTTGTGCGATGTACGAGCTCAGACAAGCTGTTTCCTCGTTTATGAAAATAAAAGCGATTTTCTGTAAGACGCGCGTTGATGACACGCGCAGACGCTGCTGCTGAAACTCTTAACGCTGTGTTACTGACAGCCAGGTAGCGAGCCTGTGCTGCAACCCAGCCATCAGAAATGCAGCCTGAAGGTACCCCAGGAACCTAGTATAATTAGGGAAATATTTGCTACAAACGAATGGGTAAACAACCATTTCACTCATTACGCTACAGGTCTGTGTGCAAAGCTTGTCCATTAACTGCTGCTGAGATTTGCAGGTAAACAGGGCTGGCGTTTGTGCTAAGCTGGCCTTGGTTTGGGGTTGGGATGTGAAGAATGTCGTGGTACCCTTCAGCCCGGGTTCCTTCAGTCTGGCTCAGAAATGGCAGGGTCAGGGTTTGCCTCTGCCTGCAGGGACCGATAGATCTGCACCCTCGTACTGAACCTCTTCGATCCCTCTTGTTGAGCCGGGGAAATGCCATCTTTCTCCGCTGCTGCCAAGTTTCTGCAGAGTAATAGCCTTGCTGTGGCGTTCTTTATGATGATTCACACGATTCTATTGAGAAAGCCTATTATATTCTAGAGATACTGGTTGTAAAGAGAAATTTCACAGATTGTGGCACAGGTTTCAACCCATTCGAAGCTGACAGGACCTTTCCATCAGGGAGGACAAATTTTTCTTCTTTATGACTATTCTTATTAAAAACAGGATTCCTTCTGCTCCTTTTGCTTCTCTAGCCCACAGACCATTTTTACCTTTCACTCTTTAAGTTAAATGATTTGTTGCTGCACTAAAGTAAGAATAGTTGTGGCAGACTTTTCTCTCCTGAAATAAACCACGTTTCTGCTGATGTGTGTGAAACTGGGCTAGCAAATAACCGTGTGAAGCAATTGTTAGCCAGGCAAGCAAAATAAGCCAAAGCTCTCTGTTGGGCCATCGCTCATCGGTACGGCCAGGAGAGATAAAGGCAGAGACGATGTTCTGCAGTTCACGGAGTCCTATCGCGTAGCTCAGGCACGGTGAGCACAGGCGATGGAAGCCAGCACGACGGGACACGCTCGAGGTCTTTATACCGTTAAAACTTCGCCAGAGAGGGAAACTGTGCCTGAGCTGGAGGGGAGCATTGCCTGATGGAGCCCATTGCAGAATAGGAAAATGGTCTTAGAAAAGAGCTCAAAATGTGGAACAGTTTCTTGTTGGGGGCGTTCAAACCATTCCCTTTGCATTTCTGATGGCTTTGGCAGGACGGTGTCACTGGCAGGTGTGGATGCCAGCAGGACACTCCGAGGTGATT